GGCGAGGTCATACTGCCCTCTAGGCTCCTGTGCGTGAGCAGTTGACGTTGATTACCACGGTGGGGCGAGGTCGTTTTGCCCTCAAGCCCTTTATGCGGGAAGTCATAGCTCCGGGCGTGTTGGGGCGCTGTTTCCGCATGTTTAGCAGCTAGTTTCCTGTAGTTGATGTCTCGGTGGTGGGCTGGCCGTTTCCGCTGGGATCCAACAGTGAGGTTGGCCTACGAGCTGCTATCTGAGTCGCTTCTTGGTCGTCTTCGTCCTCCCGTTCTTTTGCTTGCTAGTGAGGGCTCACTTGCCTCAGGCTATTTGTCAGCGCTTCTCTCGGCGGGTATGTGCCGTGTGCTGATGGTAGGTGGGCTCAGTTGCTGGTTAGTGGACCGGGTTTTGTTCTCCTCGCTGTTTCGCCGGTTTTTAACCTCTGCTGGGTTCTTCAGGCTTTTGCTGGTGCTCGTCTCATCTGCATTGGTGGGGGGCTTTAACCCCCTCGCTTGACCTGGTCTGCCCCTACTGGATGAGGGGCGGTCATCATCTCGGACGTATTCTGCGAACAGCTCGGCTTTTTCTGGTGTTAAGTTTTTCAGGCTATCCAGCCATCTTGTTTGTTTTTTGTTCGTGTTTTTGTTCTTTTTGTGGTTCTTCATCTTGTTCGTACGACCACCTTCTTGTCGAGGCAAGTTCAGTGGTCTATGTATAATACCGGGGATCTCATATCGTCCGCCGTGGTAGCGCCCCTTGCCACGGTAAGGCCACCGTTACTCCCTGAGGCGGCCCGGTGTCAGGAAGGCGCCGTTATATTACAGCCGGATTGTTGACCCCCTGGCTGCAAACCCTCTAATGGGCACGGTGCCGCATTACACCCTGGATTAGGGGGGGGTGGCAGTTCTTGGTGACCGTCCATCAGCGGGTCGCACCAGGGCAGTTCAGCGCGCCCGTACCATACCCGAGAGGTGCTGATGCGTGCGTGCTGACACTTCCTGATGCGTCCCGATTGATGATTCAGCTAAGCCCCCGCACCAACGACAAGGTGCTTGCCCTAGCGGGGGTGTCGGCGGGTAAAGTATCGATGTCTTCGATATATCGACCTTGGAATATCGATTCAAACAATCGTTTATCGTGCCATGAAATATCGATATTCAGAATAATCGATATGATATCTAACATCCCTACTGTTCGCCCTGTTCGCGTATGCACTATCCAGTAAAATCGAGTACTAATTTTACTGGTTTTTACTGGATGGCATTTTCGTACGCAAAAACGTGCAAGAAACCAGCTAAAGAGAGATAATTGAGAGAGCAAAAACGACAGCTGGACTTGCAAGTTTTATTGGATTTTGACTAGTAACTACTAACAACACCTTACGGCATGATGCACAATGCAATTCACATTATTAAAATAATTTTTTGTGGTGCATTTAGAGTTGAAATTGACAAAATAAATGTATACTAAGATGGGAAATACTATTTTTCTTAGAAAATTGCGTCGGAAAATAATATATTAAACAGCTGTTCATAACACTTGCCATTTCTTGCTGGTATTGCGTTATCGTTCTTTCTTGCGCATCTATCTCATGCTCCGAAATTTGGTTACTAGCAAGATACTGGATATTTTTTGCTGGAGAATACGAAAACACTACTATTAAAGGAATGGGAATACCACCCCTATTCTGCAACTCTTTCGTACTCGGATTTTGCAACGAATCGTAGAAATAGTTGGGGTGTTCACAGTTCGTTCCAAATTGTGTCTGAAAATGTAGACGTCTACATTTTGAGACATCTTTAGCATCAAACTGTGAGCACCCCTTTGTAGCAGTCGTCGCAAAATCGTCTCAAAACTTTGCTGGTGTTGCCAGACATTTCTTCTTTGCGTGCTTTTTTATATGTCGCCTTTCGATTTTGTTTCTGAAAAATTGTAATTATTTAACTTAATTACCAATTCCTAATATTTGTTATTTCTTTGCATCGATTTGTTTCTTTTCATCAGAAATTGCTCTCAAATTAAATGCAAATACAGAAAACGTGCCCAATAAATAAAAAAAAATGCGATTAGTATTGCCATAATGCAACCCTGCTGCGAGGTTGCAAAATGTAGACGCGTAAAAAACATATCTTTGAGTGTGACAAATTGTAGACGGCGTCGTTTTCCAATTTTGTATGGGAAACAACAACACCACAGATTTTACGGTTAGAAAACGTCCTAAAATGTAGACGTCTACATTTTGAGACACTATTTGGAACGAACTGTGAACACCCCAAGTATGCTGTAATCCGAATCGTATTTTCGAACTTTCGAAATTCGTAACAATGGCATGCCTAAAAACGAACGACTAAACTTGTTTGCGTAATTTTGTACGAAAACCATTCTGTTTCGGAAGAGAGATAAAATATATCAATCGATGTGTGTTTGTAGGAAATATTAGTGGTGTTCATTTAAACAGATAAATTTTACTTTCGCATATACTTATATCTTTATCCACTGCTTTAGATAAACGAGCAAAAAAGAATCTTTGCTGCCCTTTATCGAGAAACCCGGATCCGGTTTAGTTATTTGTGCAGTGATTTTCGGTTGTTGTGTCCAAACGCGAAACCCGAATGCAAACACTTTAGAATACACGTGTAATCAAAGGATTAAACTCTTATTTAAAATAAATGGCTAAAATTTTCGACCAACAGGTTATTAATAAGTTCGGTTTGCACTATGCACTTATTTGCAAATTTCGGTGTGACTTCTGCGCAAAAATACTGTGGATGGCGTAGTCGGAGTGATATGCACAAGAAATGTTGTATACCTTTGACAAGCGGAAGCCCCTCTTTTCCGCCAGAAAGGAGAATTATACTTAGTAAGAGTTATAATCCTTAAGCGCGGCCGAAGCCAGAAGCAAGCGCAACAGGAGGTGGACCTAGCAAAGTGCATGTCTTTAAAGGCTTGAAATAAGCCGTTATTGCGTTAACTGGATTGTGAGACAGTTCTTCCAGCATAGCAGGAGTTTTGGCTTGTGGTTCAACCAGAAGCTGACACAGATGCGCTAATGGTTACTATGCCCGTTAGCTCCGCATATCTTTGGGAAATCATTTTCATAGTGTACCTACTCTTACTCCGCTGCTATAATTGCAAATGCAACAGAATCCATCGTTTCCTTCGAAATATTTAAAATCAAATATATACATATATGTATACATACATACTTAATTACATATTTATTTAACAATGAGCTCTATAACCTGATTATAATAATTAATTTTGTTAATATATGGAATGAAACGTTTTATACAAATTCATAAAAAAAATTTTGATCTGAACTTTGACTGTAAAACTGTTGGTTCCTCCCACGGTGCAGCGGACAAAGGTGGCGCCGTCAGTGGTACCGCTACTTTGGTTTTGCCGATTTTGACAGTTGTGGTAATTTGTAAATAAACCTTTGTTTACAAATCAGCGAAAGATAAATTTGAATTATAAGTGAAAAATCAGTTTAAATTGTGTTAATTTGCAATTTGTGAGTGATGTTTGAGTTGAAGACTGCGTAAAAACTAATAAAATGAAGTGCTGTGTGTTAAATTGCGACAGCCATCAAGATGCAAGATGCGTAGGTGCAAGTGTAGCGCTGGGACGAATCGCTGCATTTTGTGTACATAGGGCACGGCAAAACCGTTTTCGGAATGTTTCTTTATTATGCCATTAACAGCATTTCCTCACAATGATTTTGCTTCTGCTCCAAGCAGCCTCCATTAGCAAGTTAACTAATCAATCCCGCTGGGATGCTGCCGCAGTTTTCTTCAGCAGCCTTAATTGCAAAGCAATGGAGTGCACCAAAACGTTTGCTGAAGCAGGATCAATTGCAAGGCAATGAGGTGCACTAAAATGTTACCTATTTTCACATTTAGCAAAATTAAAACACGTTTTTCGCTGGAAGGTGAACTTTTTTGGCAGTTTCAACTCGTTCTTCTTTTCGCTCTATTCTTTGTTTACTTGTGGTACACAAATGTCAACGCACAGGACGGCGCAATCTTGTATTCTATCATTCTTGGGTTCCTCCGCCTTGTGTGATAACATCTCTGTATTTTTAGTAAATGTATCGAATTTCAACATTAATTTTTTCCATTAATTCTTATAACTCATAACTTAAACCTCACATTTTTTGTTACAAGTATGAGTTAACCCATCTGTGCTTTCGTCCGAAATTTCAAAGCTCTGCAAGATTTTAAATGAAAGTTAGGGGTTCTTTCGTGCTAGATTAAGAGAATTTGCCAATGTGCGCTTAGGTGGTAGTGCGGTATTGTTTCTGTTGCGCTGCTCAGGAGAACTCTGGTGTACCGGTTCGAGCAGCAAGGAGCCACATATGAAGTGGTCCATTGCCTGTAAGTCGTTAAGCCTGAGCAAACTCGGAGGTGACTCCTCCCGTTGCAGGAGTTGCGCCTG